AGTTCCGGAAGAAGTTCTTTCACACAGAATGCCGACTCGTTTTCATTAAAGAGCGGGACAATCATTCAGACGCATCGTCATTCAAGAAGAGAGAGAGAGAGAGAGAGAGAGCCCAAATAGAAGATAACAAGGTACGAAAAAAGAAAAGTTTGGCGTCACCGCCTTGCACTCACGCCAAGGATAACAATCCGCAACAAAGGCGCTTTCGCCGTTAATTCCACTATGGCCCCGGGCCAATCACTCACTCAACTCCAATCGTCGAACCTCATACCAGCACCGACGATCCCGGTCGTCGCGTGTTAACTCCCACCACTGCGATTGTCACCCCGCTGTCGTAAACTCGACACGGTTCACCCGGATCCCACTGTCCGTCGTGGCGATCAAGCGCGCAACCAGTAAGCCTATCGTCATCCCGACAGGACTTTTCGACTCGCATTGATCCACTCTGCCTGGCCACTGCTTCCTGGAAGCTGGCTTCGGAGTCGAGGACGTAAGAGAGAGAGAGTTTTTGTGGACGCGCTTGCGGATTTTATAGTTACGACAGAGGAGATAGAAGGGGGGAGGGGCAACAGGAAAGCTGAGGTGTAAGCGGAGAAGCACGAGGAGAAGACTTTGAGAAGAGTGCTTTACGAACGCCATGTTGATCCCTCTGAACTCAAGGTTCAACCAATCAGATTCGTCGCACGATAGGAAGATCCTATCGATCCACGCGCCTGATTGGCGAGCGGGAGTTATCGGGGGATCGACTGGGCGTCGTTCGCCAGACTCAAAGGGTAAGAAGAGAAAAGGCGCGAGAGGAAGCGCAAGACGGGTCCAAGATTCGGATGATCAAGAAAGGGAAATGGGGGCGTAATAAGCAAGGTAGAAGGGGGAGGGGGGAGAGAAGAGAGACAGTTACAGGGAGAGAGAAAGAGGAGGGAGAAGGACAGGGAGCGCGGGAGGGAGCGATACACGGGGCCAGAGGGGAGGAAGCTTTTGCATGCACGGTGTCGTCAACCAGGGTTGTCACCCGGGGACCCCCGGGGGCAAAGCCGGGGCCGGGATTTCACCCCCGGACCCCCTCCCGGGGGGGCCCCGACCCCCGGACCCCGGAAACAACCCCCGCGCCCGCCCGACCCTCGGCATCTCAGGCCGACCCCCGGCACCCCGGCCCCGGCACCGGCACCCCCGCCAGCC